TAGGGCGTCGTTGTGTTTGAATCTTTGCAAGCAGGTCTACGTGTCCTGGCACTCGCAACCGGACTTTGTGGCACGCGCCGTGCAGAGCATCGCCAAGGTCGCGTTGACGATCGCCTCGGCACGCCCAGCATGGGTTTATAGGGGCCTGGGTACTTCGTAGGGATACATGACATAGTCGGTTAACGAATAGCATCGAAATCATTCAGTCCCCTATAGTAGGCTTCCTTGAGGTTTAGGGGTCTCTTCCAGCTTTGAGTTGGTGGGTTTTGGGATTGGGCCTTCGGGCGCAGGTCAGTGCAGGATAGCCCAGGAGATTGATTTGGTATTTGTTGTCGAAGGGTCAGGTGCCCGAAGATCGCGGCGTTTCCGAACCCTAGACCCTGAACTCTAAGCGTTCTTGAATGCTTTGAGCCCCAGACTTGTCAGCACACCAGCGATGGGTTTGCCTTAGCCGTGTTACTGTTTCCGTAAACACTGTACCTAGACCCTGAATCCTGAACCCGAAACACTACGCCCTGAGCCCTAAATCCAAAACTCTCTCTGAGATGTTGGGTGCTTCGTCTGCGCAAGGTCATCATATACTACTTGGGAACGAGGATCTCATGCGAAACCTTCGTTTCAAAGCCAACTACAGAAAGGATCCCATGTACTGATGTATTTACCAGGATCCCCGTATCAGTAGGGCTCACGAGTACCGACTGGCACACTGTCTTGGCTGTGTTGCAGACCCTTGCGGCCCAGCAGGCCGAGTTGTTGATCTGCAGCTGTCTTTTCGCGTTGCACCCCTCTAACCTTTGGTTAGTAGGGAATGGAGGAATGGGGTACAATGATAACTACTATTACTACCATTCTTCCATTCCCTATTACCCAAAGGTAAGCCCTTGCAAGTTGCATTTCTCAGCAGGCTTTCCGTTCTGTCGCTCTTCTTCGTCCTGCCCTCCTGCCCGCCACGGTTTACAACTGATCATGCTCCACCCACTCCCACTCCCTGTGCTCATGTACTGTGTTGCACGTTCCGCAAACCCTACACCCTCAATTCTCGACTCTAAACCCAAACCCTACATCAGGAACCCTGAACCCTGAACCCGCAACCCTGAAGCCCTAAACCGCCAAGGCCTAACCCTAAACTCCTAAACCCCCCAACCCTATACATCCCTAAACCCTAACCCCTAGACCCCTGAAGCCCATAACCCCCCAGAGACTCCAATATCCCTTAATTAAGGAATATACCTTAAATTATAGTAGGATCTGTAATATGATTTAAGGAATATTCCTTAAGTAAGGGATATTGGAGTCTCTGGGCCTAAAGCGCTGCCCAACCGCCTTTTGGGCTGCAGCGTCCATAGCCACAGTCTCCCGTTCTCGTCCCCACGATCCGGCCCCCGCGGACCAAGCTGCCTGGAGCCTGGTTTGGTGTTATTTGTGGGGTTTTAGGGTGTGGGGTTTAGGGCTCATAGGGTTTAGGATTTGGGGTTTTTAGGTGCTTTAGGATATATAGGGTTTGGGGTTTATGGGGTACTATGGTTTAGCGTTTAAGGTTCATACCAGTAGGGTTTGGGGTTTCTAGAGTTTAGAGTGTACAGGGCTTGGGGTTTACACAGGCTCACAAGAGAGTGCGAACTCAAGGAAGCTAAGGGGTTCCTAATGCAACAAATTAGACGATATCGCTGGGTTTTGACAAAGGTCGGCATGCTTCAAGACTCATCAACACTCACAATTGTGCCACAGGCCCGACTCCCTAAACCACAAATGCTAAACATCCGCAACCCCGAACCAGGTCAATCGCTATCCCAGGTCAAGGCCTTAAGGCTCTGGGCAGTTGAGTGGTATGGGCGATTGGATAATTTGAGCTCGGTTTCTGGGTGATGGCCGGGAAAAGGAGTGCGCTTGAAGTTTTCGGTGTTTGATGTTAAGATACTGTCAACTGCGCATAGAGCCTAAACACCTCACCCACAAGTCCCAAGATCCGGAATCCTACGCCCCAAACCTACGCTATACATGTCGTCGTATAGCAACAAGACCCTATTCAAATCATTCAGGCCATGTAGGCCCTGAAACTCCTTAAGCCCTAAAAAGCCCCATAGAACTTGAGGAATTAATGAAGCCTCTACCCGAATCCTTTTCTGAGTGTAATGGCTCCTCAAGTGCAACCCTACACCCCTAAGCCCTAAGGCTCCATGTACCTTCATAGTTGATACTTAAGCCGTAAAGGTGTCCCTATGTAGGTACTTTAAGGCCTAAGTATTTACTATAAGGGTACATTACATGGAGCCTTAGGGTACCTTCATAGCCGACACTTAAGCCGTAAAGGTGTCCCTATGTAGGTACTTTAAGGCCTAAGTATTTACTATAAGGGTACATTACATGGAGCCTTAGGGTACCTTCATAGCCGACACTTAAGCCGTAAAGGTGTCCCTATGTAGGTACTTTAAGGCCTAAGTATTTACTATAAGGGTACATTACATGGAGCCTTAGGGTACCTTCATAGCCGACACTTAAGCCGTAAAGGTGTCCCTATGTAGGTACTTTAAGGCCTAAGTATTTACTATAAGGGTACATTACATGGAGCCTTAGGGTACCTTCATAGCCGACACTTAAGCCGTAAAGGTGTCCCTATGTAGGTACTTTAAGGCCTAAGTATTTACTATAAGGGTACATTACATGGAGCCTTAGGGTACCTTCATAGCCGACACTTAAGCCGTAAAGGTGTCCCTATGTAGGTACTTTAAGGCCTAAGTATTTACTATAAGGGTACATGGAGCCTTAGGGAAAGAGACTCTGAGGCCTTGATGTCCGCTTCATCCCCAAAACCTTAGGCCCTCAAGTCGTTCAACTCTAGACCTCCAGCCGTTGAGCCCTCAAGCCCCAAATCTCAAGCCCGTATATATATATATATATATGTGTGTATATATATATATATATATATTTATTTATATATATATATATACTCTTTTCACCACCCAACCCCCCAAAAATGGGACTAAACACTTAGGACGTGTGTTCCATGGCTTTCTCTGCTGCCATCCGTCGCCTCCCAGGAGGCTCTGGAAGCTTTTGTTTGGAAGGGGAGAGGGGGGTTTTAGGGTTTTGGGTTTAGGGTTTAGAGTAGGGGGGTTTTAGGGTTTAGGTTTTTTTCCCGGGAGAATTCTGGAGTCTGTAGACGCACTCAGGGTTCAGGGGGTTGGGGTTTAGGCTTTAGGGTTCAGGGGGTGCGGCAGGGTTGGGGTTTAGGGATGGGTGGCGGGATTAGGGACTGCCATTGGACTTTTGAATCTCGGCTTATAAGGGTTTGAGAGTACGGCTTGAGGGTTTGGGCTTCGGGGGTCGAGCGTCACGAACTTTGGGGTCACTTTAAGTTTAGGTCACATGCACCTATGTTAACACCTTGTTTCCGACATCTGCACCCCTACATCATCAGGTCTGTGTTGATGTGGCCTTTACAAGAACAGTTGTAGCAGCCATGTGCATAAGCGCTGCCGCTGCCGCCGACAATGACCATGAAGAAGAGCAATAAGAAAGCCACTACGACGATGATGATGACAAGGATGCTGATGATGATGATGATGACGATGGGGATGAATGTTGAAGTAATTCATAGTTCGGAAGATATTCATAATAGTAGTGTGAACTTCAGTGTCAACAGTAGTAATCCAGGAGAATATTAACAGTAGTAACAGTCTTCGTAAATGATATCAACTAGTGACAGTCATCGTCGAGATCATCATCATCACCACCTTCATCACCATCACCATGGCCATCATCATCAACATCATCATCATCAGCAGCAGCATCAGCAGCAGCAGCACCATGATCATCATGATCATCATGATCATCATCGCCATCTTCGCCATCATCATCACTGATCACCATTATCATGAACATCATCACCATCATCATGAATGCTGCTGGGAGCTCGAAGACAAAACCTTGTGGACAACGACTAGTGGCCGCCGTCACCGTTGTTCATCGTAGTCCGTGTCGCCGTCGCAGTGCTGCGCCGTAATAATAGGCTCGTATGTGATGAGCCAGCTTCTGTCGACCGGGGTGCACGAATCAGAAGCACTGTGTAAACGCTGCTCAGGTGGATTCGCAAAGATGCCAAGGTCGCAGGCCTGCCCTTGCACTGGTACTCGGGCTTTTGGTACTTTGAGAGGGTGTGAGTCCTTCGGACAGCCTTTTGCTTCCTTTCTGTGATCCTGCTCCCCCATGCAGGGGACCTCAGAACTCGAGGAGTACCTGGGTGGTTGTCAAAAATAGGTTCCGTTTTTGGATAGCCTAAATATTAGGTGCCGAATTATAATAGGGACCCAAAAAAGGATGCTAATTTTGACAACCACCCACATGCAAGGGATCTCAGAACTCAAAGAGTACATGAAGATGGGAGATGGAGAGGGTTTACCCATAGTCTCCATTGTAGTTCCGTTTTTTGGTTTAACCAAACATGTACTTAGGATCCTATAAGGTAACCCCAACAACGAACTACAATGGAGACTATAGGCAGTTCGAAAAGGAAATGTAGGAGTTCATGAGACGTAATTATGTGCGAGCCCCTGATTTGTTTGAGTCTTGACCTCTAATGGGTTGGGAGCAGACGCATTTTTAGGGATTTGGGGTTTAGGATTTGGGTTCTTGTACCTCTAGGTACACTATAAACCCGAAGCCCTGAACCCAGAGGTGAGTGTTCCGGATTGAGCTTCGCATCTTTGGGGCTTGGGGTTTATGGCTTGCGTCTGGACGGGCTCCAACAGCCTACGAGCCTTTGAACTTCAGCTCTATAGGCGACCTGGATCGAATTTGACGTTCTGGAAGCGTGGTCTGCATGTCAGCGTAATAGGGGGTGCAATTAATTAGACTTAAGTATATCAGCAGCTTCAATAACTGGACAAACAATTATCTATTTCTCCATATCATGCCAAATTACTACTGTTATGCATGCTTACAAATCTAGCACGAGCCCTTAACTCCACCATTTAAAGGCGTATCGCCGCATCCGACAGGCGATGACAGCAATCCCGCCGCAGACCAGCTTGATCAACATCTGCACCTACTTCCAGACATGGCCGAAACACAGGCAAGCGGCGATAGGGCAGGTAAGGTTTAGGGTTTAAACTCAACAGCAATTTCAATATCTGCTGAAACTCAATGGGCCGGGGTACTCGGCCTCTAAGACACCGTTATGTCTTTTGAAATCGTGAGAAAGTCCCCTGCCCTCGGCGGTGGAATCATCCGATGGTGATGTTTTAATTCTACAGCCCCATACACGAGCACCCCCCACAGCCCAAAGCATGTTAGTAATTTGAATAGGGCTCCTTTTATAGGGTTCCTACCCAGACCCCCGGGAGGATCCAACAAGTAGATCCCTTAATGGGGGGGTTCCTATAAAGTTATTCTTAGTAGTATAAGGCCCCAAATTGGGGGATCTACTTTCTAGATCCTCCCGGGGGCCTGCAGAAGCAGCTTACTTTAGGGACTCTGAAGCTCAAAGCCCTGAGGCTCTAATCGGACTCACCCCTTTCATCTCCCCGTTGTCGCAAAATGTCGCCTTTGGACGAAGCCCTTCGACGGTGCACAGAATCCTGGGGCTCCTACGAGTTTAGGCTTCCGGAAAGTGAATGTTAGGGTTTAGGGTTTAGGGCCAGTGAAAGAGTATAAACTACCTTCAATCCTACATCCAGAGTCATAGTATCTTCTAAATGCTCTGCCTGTCAGGTTGTCAGGTTGCATGTTGTAGAGGTGAGCCTGACACTGCTTCAGCCCCAGACTGCGCCGGGCTTTCTGTAACTACTGCATCAAGACGCTAAATTCCCCAAAATTCTAAGAGTTTATACGGTTCAGGGCACAGGCGTTCAGGGTTGTAGGGCTCAGGGTTTAGGGTTGGAGGGTTTAAGATTTTGAGGTTGAAGCCCAAACACCCTGGGTAAAGCCCTAAGCCTAAAGCCCTGCAGCCTACAATGCATCCCGAAAGCCGCAAAAACTCACACCCTAAACCCTAAACCCAAACGCCCTACAGTCCCAAACTTATGAGGATTTACGTCCTAGGGTTATGAAACCTATATCCCTGCACAGCATGTGGCGAAGTTGATACAACGTCCGCAAGACCGGTCTAGGTCCCCCACTCGCGAGAAGTGATTCGGTTGGCTACAACCTTGGCTTTCTTCTCCTAAACCCCCAAACCCTGAACCCCTAAACCCTGAACCCCTAAACCCTAAAGCCCTAAACCCTAAACCCCAAACCCTAAACTCTACCCTGAACCGAGCCAGGTCCATGTTCCTGATGTATGGTACGCGCCACTCCTCTTCGGCCGCCGACTGGCTGCCGAAGGTTCCAGGGACGAAGGCCTCTGCGCCAACACCGACGTATCATTAAACTATAGGCCCCCCTTAGGGGTTTAGGTTTAGGGTTTAAAGTTTAGGGTTTAGGGTTTAGGAATTATGTTCATACAGAAGAACCCAAGAGAACATTGGTAATATTGATTTTATTATGTTTCTAAAGGGGGTATAGTAAAGGGACCCTAACAAGCCTTATCTGAGTGCCGTTCGGGAACTTGCGGAACCCTATTATGGCACCCTTTAACGAAAGGTACCCTAAAAAGCCTATTATAGTTCGATTCTACTTTAAGGTATCTAGTTCAGGAAGTCAATCGCAGCTTCAGGTTATGGTTCTGCCCTGATCGCGTCCAAACTATGCAGTAACTGATCATGTGGCTGCAGCATCGTCGCTTGTATGTTCGTATTTTAGGGAGTACATGACCAGATTGTAGTATCCTTAAGGGAGGGGGGCCCAAGGGGGGTATATAGCCTAGTGATCCCTAACTCTCCCCAGTACTCCCTAAGGTTCCCTTACAGTCCCCTAAGGATTCCTTATACCCTCCCCCCTTGAACCACCCTCCCTTAAGGATCCTATGACCAGATGATCCTTGGAACCGTAAAGGCCCAACCCTGAACCCTCAGACTCCGATAAACCCACAGGTTGATATAGGGGCCGTAATGCTTAGAACAGGGTGTTGGGGTACATCATACAATAACGATTATGATAACGACCCTGTCCCAAAATAGTATAGGTATGATGAAAACCCTAAGCTGCAAGCCCTAAACCCTAAAGCCTAAACCCTGCCGGCCCTAACGGTGGGGCTCTTCTGCTCTGGGTTGAAACTTCGCTGGAGGACCCGTCTCGTATCGAGATGGAGCCCATGGCTACACTTGATGGCATCTACGGCCGTGACCTCGGACCTGGGGTTCTTTTCATTGGTAGTTGGTGAAGAGTTGTAGGACTTTGGGGGTCTAGGGTGCGAGACAGACTAAAAGAGAGAGCGAGAGAGAGAACAAACACACAGAAAAGAGAGAGAGAGAGAGGGGGAGAGAGAGAGAGAGAGAGAGAGACTGAGAGACGGCGAGTCAGAGTGAAAGTGGGAGGTGGTTGTGGCTTCGGAACTCTTCGACTCACTGCGCTGCCAGGTCATGCAGGCGGCACTCGCAACGGTGCTGAGGGGAGCAAAGGCCACTGATCCGCTGACAGTCATGTCGATGCTAGCCCTTAAGGCTCCATGTGCCCATATAGTAGATACTTAGGCCTTAAAGCGCTCCCCATGGAGGTACTTTAGGGCAGTATATACCATATGGGTACATTGAGCCTTGGGAAGCTTTAGTGACAGCGGTAGTTAGTGATGAGACTTGGCCGTACTCGTGATGGCAATGGCGCGCGCAATGCATTCAATGCACGGAAAATGCACTGTAATGACCGCAAGCATTGCTAAACAAGCGGGAAGCCGTGACACAAGCAGAGACATGAGGAGGTACATACACGCTTTGAGAATACACCAAAGCATGTTGCTTCGACGGCTGCTGTCGCTGAATCTGCTGCTGCTGCTCTGCTGCTGCTGCTGCTGCTGCTGCTGCTCTGCTGCTGTTGCTGCTACTGTTGATGCTGCTGCTCGTGGTGTCCTTGCCATTGCTTCACTGTCTGACTGGATAGGACCTTATGCCTTCCGAACGGCTGACCCGAAACTGCAACCTAAAGGACTGTAGAGCATGTCTCTAACCCTGGACCTGACGCCCGACATGTTTAATTCCTTAGCTTAGATCCTGAAGCCGCAGTGCCTTACACCGGCTTTTAAGCACTTGGGTCCTTTCTGGGTATGGCTAAGTCAGAAGGGCTGAGACTGAAAACTGGTGGTGGGGAGTGGGGGCTGTCAGGTTTCGAGACTTCATTATACACGATCATAATTACAACTCTACTGCAATGTACTCCAAATCCCTATTCTGACTGTTAAGGCCGATGTTTGAGCCCTCCACTGGTGAAGCTTCAACCCGAGTGTACGATCCCATTGTTGCCAGCAATGCCATATGCATTTTCCTCGCAGGTTTAGAGGTTTAAGCTTAGGGTTAAGGGGTTTAGGGTTTAGGGTAAGCACCTGACCCCAGGCCGTTTACATACGATCTGTAGTCAGGAATAGCAACTGTTGACTCTGCCGTCGCACCATGCCATGATGTAGCCTACACCCGAAATACCTAAACCCAATAACTTAACCTGACACAGGAGACAGGCAGGACGCACCGGCCGCCCCTGCAGCAGCCTCAGTGCATGTTGCTGCGCTCTGTTGCGTTGACCATCCTTGTGCGTCATTTGGGAGTTTCCGAAAATAGGGGACCCTAATATGGTACCCTAAACAGTAGGATCCTTATTATAGGGACAACAACATAAGGTACCCCTAATTTGGAAACTCTCATTTCGACCTTGTCTGGCGAATAATACGGCGGCTCAGGGAAAGTTCTATCTGCAAGGCCGAGCTTAAAACCTGAACCCTAAACCCTAAACCCCGAACGTCAAGTACAGCCTACACTTCATGAGGCCCGCCCTCTCGGGCTATCGGGGCTTCGCCGTCGCTTTGCGAAAGGCCAGAAGCTCTCGATGGCGCACCAGCCACGCTTCGATGAGTTATGATACTGGTGACGGTCATGCTGATGATCCCCAGGAATCCGGGTAGATAAATCCCTAAACCCCAAATCGTTAAACCCTGAACCCTGCACCTGAAGTCTTTCACTGATGCACGGCTCCGGGATTCATACCGCAAAGCAATAAGGGCCCAGAGTCATCCTCAGAGTACATATAGGCCATACCTACTTCCGGTTCTTTGGAGGTTTGGTGGGGGGGGGTTCTTGAAGCTCTGCGCCTCTCGATGATGGGAGAAATCAGCCTTCGCCGCAGGATTTTGCACAGTAATCCCTCTACCCTGAACCATAAGCCCCACGCCAAGGCCTGTTATTGTAGAGTCCTGACTGCTAGTTAGCCCCATAGACTCAACCTACCTCAACACCATATCGTCCTTGTTGAGTTCTGTGAGAATACATACCCCAATCACAAGGACGATGCCCTTCAAGGAGTAAGGAAGAAATGCGTGCAGTTCTATGACGGTGAACCTTTAGATTTGGAGTTTAGGGCTTTAGCTTAAGGGATTGGGGTGTTAGCTTGGTTTGGGGTTTAGCTTACGGGATAAGGGCCTCATGAGAAGTCAGGGTTTGGGTTGCATAATCAGCAGCAGCATCGATTCCTTCATCATCACAGCTAGTTACCGCCTGGAATTAGCCGCCCTACTGCCGGTAGCACAACACTCATTGCCGTTTCATTTAGAGTACAGGATCGCCATTGAAGTTTTGATTGTATCGGCTTCGGTCGTCGTCGTCGTCGTCATTCTTAGTCGTAGCACGCCATTCACTGCCATACACTGATACACCATCACTAACTTCACGATCATCAGTCTCACCATCCGCTATTATCCTCATGGCCGACTTGCCTTCGAAACCTTCAGAATGCCGCGGACATGATGGTATAGTTTCCTCAGAACTGAAGCATCGCGCACGACAGGTTACTGCCTATGACTTCCCATCGGCGCGCTTTGCTCGCTCAGCGGGAGTCGAATTGGTTCTCGTCGGGGACAGTCGGAAGCTTGTTTGCTGCAGTCGGGGACTCTTACGGGGCTAGGGCCAGGGATTCTGTTCCATCTTTGCACAGAGTTTCCAGTAAGTAGGGTAGGGCCCGGGTAGGGCTCAGGTCTTTCAGGGTTCAGGGCTTAGGGTCCCGAATGTACGTCAATGAAACTGTCAACAGTTAGTTTCGTCATTCTTCGGTTCCGTGCCTCAGCACTTCTTTCCTCGCCGAAGCCAAAGCAACGGGATTGCTGCTAAGGTCTCGGAAATTGTCGGCAGGGCTCCCAGGTATCTTCTGCTTTTGTTGCCCATGTTTTGAACTTAGGTTTCGGCTCGGCAATCGCGAAACTATATTATGGCTTTAGCCACTGAGCCCTAAACCCTACATAATACCTTGCTCCTTAAACCTTAAACTCCTAAACCCTCAAACATAAAGTGGTTTCAGTCGGCAGGCCTTGTTCATTGGTGCTACCACGAGGTTTACCATCAAGCTTGTGGGGGGCAGAAAGTAGGGTCTCTATGGTAGGAAGTACTTTTATGGTTTCGGTATGTATCCCACATGTATGTATAGTCTCCATTGTAGTTCCTTTTTTCGCTAACCAGTCTTCTGGCTAGTACCCTTATAGTACACCTTTAAAAGGAACCCAAATACTCATAAACCCCAAACACTAAGCCCTGCCTTATGGAGGTTTGGAAAGTTTTAGGCCCGGATATCGGGGACCTCAAAAGGTAGGATGAAGGTAGGTGGGACATTCCCAAATAAGAGTCCTTCCATAAGGGATCCTTAATCCCACCTACCTTCATCCCACATTGTCTTACCCTTGGTTAGTAGGGAATGGAGGAATGGTAGTAATAGTAGTTATAATTATACCCCGTTCCTCCATTCCCTTCTAACCTAAGGTAACCCCAAGGGTCCAAGTACCCAATAATCATATACTCTCCCAAATCCTAACCTACATAACTACGATCCTAAAACCGAGTACCTGATTATTGCGTCCTTTGGACCCGTGGGGTTGTGAGGCCTCCGATGATACTGCACCGAAGCCCTGTTTCCCCTTCAAGCCTCAGGCTGGGGCTTCCCGACACCGTTGGTGTCACCATGGAGGACCCCCCTGAGGGGGGGGGATCTCGAGTTCTGGAGGTTTGGAGTTTTGGAGTTGTTTTTTTTCCTTAGGGTTTTGGGTTTGGAGTTTAGGGTTTTCGATTTACGGGTTTTGGGCTTGTGGTTTATGGTTTAGAGTTTCCGAGGGTTTAGAGTTGTGGAATTGCGTCATTAGGGCTTAGGTCTTCGCGTCTAGGGTCCTTGGGTTCTGGATAACGTTACTGTGTTTTGCGGTTGTGCCTATGCTGGGTGCTTGTGCAGGACTCTAAGAATTCAGTTACCGGGAAAGGGACCTTTCGCAGGGAATAGGATTTCCTTGTTTTGGTAACTTAAACTACTCTCTTGAACAAGAACCCAGTGTGTCTTTCGCGGTGCTCTAGCCTCAAGTGCGTACGTCTTTTTCCCAAGCCAGATGCATTAAGATTCCTGGGTTTGCCTTAAATGGGTCTTGCTCAGGAACCTACTTTAAGTTGAAACTTTGATATTTTAGCATAGATCCTTAAAATGGTAACTTAAAATTAAGCTCCTCAACCCGAACCCACTTACCTCCGACTTACAAACTGATGACTTGTATCAAGAAATCACACAATTAGGAAGCCTGGCAAGGCAGGTTCTTTAGGATTCAGGTAGGGTCTAGTGAGGTTTAGGGTTCAGGGGTTTGGGGTGTAGGGTCTCGGGCTTCAGGTTTGGGGTAACCATAATCCTGAAAGCCTAAACCCGAAATCCCTAAACGCTAATTATCCGGGATCAGGGGTTTAGGAAAGAGGTTAAGGCGACCTGCTGCTGGAGTTCAAACCCTGAACCCCAAACCCTGACGGAGCAACCCAATGCCCCATAAATCCCATGCCTGAAGAATTTTCAGACCTTTAGCAGAGCAGTGCATGCCATCCGCAGCAGACGGATGTCGAGCCATCCACGAACAGGTCTAAAAACCGACATGTGAAGCAGCTTGGTGGCCAAAATCCCTCTGAGCCATGCACAAACAATCTAGACAAGCACATATACAGTATATCTCGTGGGGATCGGAACACTTGGTTACTTCATCGGTACTTAGATGCTTCGGGACTCTGTCCAGGAGGACCGGAACGCACTGTAACAGGTAGGATACACCATGACAAGATGGCCAGAATGTTTGGAATTGCTAGATGGCTTCGTCCTACTGTAGGGTTTAGTGCTTATTCTGCGTTTCAAGCCCTGATTTGCAGAGAGAGGACATGCTCCGTGCCACTACGGCCGTACGCCGGGGAGTCGACGCCGCGTCTGGCTCGTCGCCGAAGCCCCTGGTGATTGGAGCAGGGGTCCCAGAAGGGGATTTAGGGTTTCGGTTTTCAAGGGATTCAGGGGACAGGGTTGAGGGTTGGGGTTGGAGGTTTGGGTTTAGGGTTCACTTTCGGATACCGGTAGGGTTGTGGCTTGATGCAGGGCCATGCCAATGATAATTGGTCAAGCTCAGGTTGATACGATTGAACCTCGTGCCCTACATTAGTGATTAGGTCTCTGGACTTTTGCGGAAGGAGTTCCCTCAGTGCTACACCGAGGTCATGTGTGTATCTGGAAAATGGGAATTGTCGAGGTCAGGAATGTGGGGTTTAGGACAGGGCGCATGTCTGGTCGTCATTCTCAGGCTTGCCAAGGTCCCAGATCGGTCCTGTTCTGCTGCTCGGCTGTAAGATGTGGGCTTTGTATGCCAGAGAATGCACAGCTCCAAGCCGCGAAAACAAGCAATGAAGCTCGTAACCCTTGACCCCTATCCTTGACTGTTTTGCAGTTGGCCACATGGGCGGACAGGAAGCGGAATTTGGATGCCCGAAGCTTTCCAGTAATCTAAACCCTAAATGTGTGGAGTTCAAGAATGAAGTATGTTGTGCGCAGGGTACAGGGGGTGGGGCCTTCTGCGAGCAGGGTTTGTGTCAGATAGTACAGGGGCCCTAAATAATTACCAACAGAATCTTTGGGTTCCTTGCTATCATGATCTATCATGATAGCATAACACACCCGAAAATCTTTTTCCTTTTTATGTACTAGGTCCCGATATTACCTAGATGCCAGGACATGCCCTTCGGCGGGGGCCTCGGGTCCAGCATCGGCCTTCCCGGTCTTGAAATTCGAGTTGCGGTTTAGGGTTCCTTTAAAGGGGTCCTACCACAGTATCCTTTACAGGAGCCCTTCAACAAGGAACCTTTCAAGAAACCCTTAAGGGGCCCTTTACGGGATTTGTGTGAATGCTTTGGGTGTTTAGGCTTCCAGGCACGGTTTAGAGTTTAGGGGTTTAGGGTTGAGGGTTTAGGGTTCGGATTAAGGATTCCTTTAAGGGGTCCTTTACGGGATTTGCGCTTTTGGTGTTCAGGTTATACTGCCTGATTTTCGGGTTTTGAGGCTTCGGATTGAGGGTTCCTTTAAGGGGTTTTCTTAGGGGTACTTAGAAATAGTTTTTCATTTTTGGTTATTACAATCCCCAAGAAACAGCTAAAATTAACAATTTTTGCTAGGGTTCTAAGTTCAGTATAGTTTCTACTACGGGTTTACAGTTGATTGCGGATTGGGGTTTGGGTTTTACTGCCTGGTTTAGTGATTTGGAATTGTTGTGCGTCGGGCTCGGGGGCTTTGAGTTTTGGGGCTTCGGATTTCAGGCGCACTTAGGTGCAGGTTAAGTGTTTAACTATAGAAGGGGCCCCCATTCCGTGTAATAGTGGTATAATAGGAATATAGTCGGGCCCTAATATAGTCCTTATAGTCACTATTACAGGGTGGTGGGGGCAGCTTAGAAGTTTAACTGCTGACATCTGCATACTGCCGTGTGGTGCCTCGGCCACTTAGGTAGACAGACTTGAGTTTGAGGACTGGGTCTCTCGGTTTCACGAGGCCAGCAGGATTGGACCAGACTTCACGTAAAAATGAAACACCTTTATCAAATCCAACTACAACCCCTAAGGGTCCAGGTACCTAAATAGTATATACATTGGCCTTAAAGTAGTCACTAAGTAGTCCCTATATAGGTACATTGGGGCCAAAGTATATACTATTTGGGTACATGGACCCTTAGGGAACACCGCAAACCCCTTCCAAAACGCCAAATCCTAAAGTCGAGCACCAAAGACTGAACTTCTCCGACACCAGAAAGGACAGCCCAAAGCCGGCAGAGTCATATCTAGGATGCCCAGTAGTACCCTTATTCCCTTTTTGTAGTCCTAGGTCCCTTTTTGAGTTACCCAATACTAGAAAGAGAGGCCTTTTTATTCTTAGGTTACTGGGTATCCTAGATATACCGCAGAGACTCCACAGTGGGTGTTATTCAACACTTACACACTCAGAGTCCTACCCTGTCGTCCTAAACCCCAACGCAGCTGCCCCTTCGAAGCCCTCTACCCTAATTCCGAAACCCCAAATCCTACATCCCAAGCCCCGAACCCCTCCCCTCCCCCACCCTCCATTCCAAATACATCGCCCTTTCTTGTAACCAGGTTCCTACCTGACGCCCGAAGACGCGCTGCGCAACGCTGCAGCGTTTCGAGTCGCAGGAGAACTTAGGGAACGGTTCGGGCTACTACTTGGAAGAGCAGGGGACTTGGCAAGTAGGTCATAAGTAGAGTTATAAGTACCCTCAATGGAGTTACCCCAAGTATAACCCTACTTATAACCTACTTACTAAGTCCCCTGCCCCTCCAAGTAGGGGTTTTATGTAAGCCCTTAACTCTAAACCGTCTAGGGCCTTTCAGGTTTCCGTTGAAGGATTCCTCTGAGAATTTTATCGTGGAGATTGTACGGTTTCAAGTAGACCCTCTAGGGTTCCTTTATGGATTCTGTAACAGTGGCTCCGCCTCAAACAGTCTTAAAATACTGTAGAGGCCTACGGGGTAAGGCAGCAAAGGATTTCAGAGTCGACCCCTAACAGAATAAACATTTGAGCCCTGAACCCTCAACCTCAAAATCTGAAACCCTCTAACCCTAAACCCTGAACCCTACAGCCCTGAACGCCTGTGCCCTGAACCGTATAAAATCTCCAACCCTAAACTCCTAAACCCTGAAGCCGCAGTTCCAGGCCCTTGGGCTAAAGTGGTGTCGCTCGGTACCTAAATGAAGGAGTACTGAAGTATATGGGTGGTTGTCAAAATCAGGGTCCCTTTTTGGTACCCTAGACATAGGTGCCGTACTATAGTAGGGACCCAAAAAGGGCCATATAATATTAAACAGTGTCAGTGACCTCGTGTTTGGGTAGCTGGAGCCATAGGGATTTACTCGTAGTTTTGCATGCTACCATCACCTAGTGCCGCTCTGCTGATGTTGAGTCGCTACGATCTACACTCTGTTCCTGAAGGAGCAGATATCGTCAAACTCGAGGGCGGATGTCTGGGCCCCAGCGAGGTTAAAAGGCGAGGAGGTAAGAAAGACATGTGGGCTTGGACCAGATTCCACCTTAAACCCCAAGCCCTGAACCCTAAACGCTAAACGACAAATCCCACACTTACCGTCTTTTCCCTCATGTCCCTGATGCTTCGAGCGAAGAATGTCGGTATTGGAGGACCTTCAGCTAGCCTGGCAGCTTCAACCCGACCCACCAACAAACCGCAGCCTGAGGCCTTTCAAGTTCCGAAATTTAAGACCCTGAACTTTAAATACAACCTTGTACTTGTAGTTCCTAAAGCCTGAACCTTCCTCAGGTTAAACGGACCAGGGGCTTCCTTCTGGGGGGTCCTAGAGACAGAGAGACAGACAGAGAGACGGACACAGAGAGAGAGGCAGAGAGACAGAGAGAGAGAGAGAGACAGAGAGACCGAGAGACGGAGAGACGGAGAGACAGAGAGACAGAGCGACAGAGAGACGAAGAAAGAGGCATAGAGAGAGAGAGAGAGAGAGAGAGATAGAGAGACAGAAAGAGAGATGGAAAAGAGAGGGAAACAGAGAGAGAGAGAGAGGGACGGAGAATTTCATAGAAGTTGGAGATCCTTTTTCGTGATGGCACTGGCAGTGGACATGGTTCCTTTCAGGGTGTATGGGTTTTTGGATTAAGGTGCTCAAGATCAGGTGACCCTTTCATTTTAGTCAGCTACACGTGCAATAACTGGTGACCCGACTTACGACCTGCTTGCGAGAGATGCCTCGATAGCAAATCCGCGGCCATGCCAGCGTACTTGGAAGGGCAGGGGACTTAGTAAGTAGGTTATAAGTAGAGTTATAAGTACCCTAAATGGAGTTACCCCAATTATAACCCTACTTGTAACCTACTTACTAAGTCCCCTGCCCCTCCAAGTAGGACCATGACGACCGACGATCAAGACGAACGACCACGGGCTATGTCAAGTTAAAGGTTTAGGCTTCAAGCTTAGATGCGGCTCCCGCTGTGGCGCAGTGAGTATCTTCGTTCACGTCCCATTATTTGCGCAGGATCCGTGCGACCACAGAGCGGTAATACACGGCCTTGATGATTTTGACTAGGGTTTGGGGGCCATTATACTATGCTCATGACAAGGAACCCCCACAAAGTACTGGTGCCTATGGCCTGAATCCGCCAGTACATGGCGTATGGCTGCGGTGCTGTTGGTCTCCTGGCGGTGTCCTAGCTGGCGGTCTTAGGATGGTGTCTGGGTGGTTCAGGTCGGAATTGGTAGTATCATTATAATATCCCTTAACAACAGTCCTTATAGTGCATTTACAGTCCAAGGTTCTAAGATACTCCACACAACCCTAAACCCTAAACCCTAAACCGTGATACGATAATGATGAAGGCCCGATGCTGCAAGCCAACCGATAAGTCTCCATGTACCCACGTAGTAAATCCTTAGGCCTTGCAGGGCTCGCTATGTAGGTCCTTGAGGGCCGAAGTAAATACCATAGGGGTACTTGGACCACTATACCCTATAGAACCATTATAGTAACCTTTACCGGAACCCTTCTGATACCCTTTAAAGGAATCCTTAGAAGGTGCAAACATTAAGACGGACCTTACAAGACACGGCAGCCCAAGCCTGAGACTTGCAGACCAAGGCCACTTGGCCCCTCTTGTGAAGGCCTTGACCAATGTTGGCTCCTCAGCGCCCAGGGATTACGCTGAGTTAGGAAATAGGCATATTATATAGGAGTGTTATAATAAGTAGGCTTTACTGGCCCTTAGTTGAGGAACGGGCGCAGTATTATTCTTATCATTTGAGCTGCATTCCTTTCATCGGGTATTCGGCTTTCTTGTGATGAGCGGATTGAGGGTTTTAGAGCGGAAGTTTTGAGTTTTGGGTTTAGGGCTCAGGTTCACGGCCTCCCCAGGTTGCGAGGTTGACGATCGATGGCTCTGGGACCAGGGCGATTTTTCTTTTTGCGCCGTGAATAAAGACTGAAGTCGCTAGCCCTAAATCCTAAACCCCCACCTCCCCGCCCCAAACACCCCTATCAAAACAGTTCGCACCATAACCTAAACCCGAAATCGTCTATCAAGTCAAGAAAGCCCACACCCATTTCAAAAACCTGTAATCAGCCCTGAAGGCATGCCCAGAAACACCCAAAGTCAGAAATCGAGCCCCTCAAATTCTTACTGCTGAGGATGTCTGGGCGTGCCCAGCAAGGGCTAATGAAGATCTCATGACAATAACGGGTTGAAAAAGCTGTGTCGGCCTTTTCAATTTGTTCAGGGCGTGATAAGGCTTTGTCAATAAGAATCAAAAGCCACCAGCATGAGAAATTTACTGGCCCGACTTCTGTCTTGAATTTAAAAGCATTTTAGGTGCTAAAAGCCCTTGATGTCTCAAGAAAGCCCGCAGTCAGTCGGAAACTGGCGCGGGCTCGACTGCCCCAGTGTCTTTCCATGCGTCACCCCTGAATTACCAATGCCAGCCCCTCAGGTTCTTGATGTGTTTTTTGAGCATAGAAAACAAGCGAAGAAGCATCGAGAAGAGCGAACTCAGAAATGGGCATGCCGAGGTCAGGGTGCCCTTGATGTGCGCACTTTTTAGTTTGTTTTTGGTCGCACGGCTGTCGTGGGGGATCATTCTCGTAAACCAAGGCTTTCTTAAGCAGTTCTGTCGCTGTACCGAATGAATGGGGTCTTTTTGCCCTTTTCAAGTCGACATATAGTCTCCATTGTAGTTCCATTTCTTGGTTAACCAAAATCTCTATTGTAAGGTCTTAACCATAACAAAAACAAGAAATACAATGGAGACTATAGGGAAACCCCCAGGCCGGAATTGGCGTGATGAGTCATATTGGCCTAGAGCCGCAGCGCGCCGGGACCTCGGATCTTGCACAGCTCTGACTCCCAAGCTCCTTGCAGTGGCAGAAGCATGGGTTGAGGGCTTTAGGGTTTGGGGTTTAGGGTCCAGGGGTTGGGGTTTAGGGCTGTTTAGGGTTCAGGGTTTATAGGGTTTATAGGGTTGAAGTTTCGTTTTGTGGGTTTTGGGTTGTGGGTGTTGGCCCTTTGGCTCGGGGCTTCAATGTTTTGATTGAAGATTGGGGCTTTGGGTGTTGGGTGTCCCTCTTTGCCGTTGTCGAGCAATTGAGTGCCAGAAGGAACGGCAGAATCTGCTGCGGTCAGAGGGATGTCAGACGTCAGCAAGCGACTCTCGTGCTGCTGATGTTTCATGCCTCAAATCAATCAAGCTAGCTCGGGGTCCCATGTCGTGCCCCTGAACCGTAAACTCTAAACCCCAAGCCCCAAACCCTAACCGCCCTAACCCTAAGAGAACCCCAATTCACCATCGGAGAGCCGTCCTGGATGTCTCGTCGGGTGTAGGTGAAGCTCCGAGTATCAGAAGCTGATGGAGTCTTCTTCACAGCTTCGCGACAAGCGCAAGGCTCCGACAGACAGCCTACACTGCGTGGTGGAAGGTCATCAACATGGTTTGAGGCCCTATGCACCCAAAGAGTATATACTTAGGCCTGAAACCCTAAACCCAAATCCCAAGGGTCCATGTACCCATATAGTATCTACTTCGGCCTTAAAGCACCTCTCTAGGGACTAATTATTTGGGCTCATGGAGCCCTAGGGAATTTTGAGGCTCCGCTTCGAAAAGCAGGAAGCTACGGGTTCAGTGTTGCGGGGTAGTTGGAGTTCGGGGCTTCGCTGGACCCCAGAAGACCTACAGTTTTAAGACGGTTTAGGGTTTAGGGTTTAGGGTTTAGGGTTTAGGGTTTAGGGTTTTAGGGACTCATAATGGGCAGTTGTCAAAATTGGGGTCCCTGCTTTGGGGGGTACCCCAAATAATAGTAGGTGCCGTATTATAATAGGACACCAAAAAAAGACCATAATTTTGACAACCACCCATATAAGGAAATAGGTTATTTGGGTGGAGGTAGGGCTTAAGATAAGAGTCTTGAGGCTACGTTACCACAAGCAAGAAGTTCTTGGCTTCGCTCTGTACACCGACGAACGACTGCAGAGCGAGTTGTACAACACGGCATTGACAGCTGCTGGGTGACTGTTGTGTCCCTCTTTCGTTCTTATCTTGTGTCAGATTGGGAATGCTACAGCTGTTGCATCCTATCGTGTTTTCTTCATATGGAGGACTTAGGTCATTCGCGATGACCTTAAAGAGATTCTGCGAGTCCTGCCTGCTGGTGTTATCAATCGACTTCATTCTCATCCTTTGTGCATCTGGGTCAACTTGGACAACGGTGTACGCAAGAAAGGCTGCTGTTGTCATCATGTGGATCTTCCCGATGAGTACATGAAGTGCAAGTCACATTCTGTGGAGATCTTCGACATCCGAGACTATTTACAGCAGACAGGGGTTCAACCGGCACAGTTGCTGCACGAAATCTCGCATTGGGTGCACTTCGACATAGTCCACAAAGAATGCATCGCATCGCAGAGTAGCAAGTGGAGACCGAGCTCCGGTCGGATCATTATCGCGGCGAACCAAGGCATTCTGAAGGAAGCATCGGACGGAGGACCGCTCTACAACATCTGTGGCTTTAGAACTTCCTGCTTAAATGGCAGGTATGTACTAGATGCATCGTCTTTGGGATCACCTGGCTTCCCAAGTTTGATCAAACTGCAAGGCGGCAGAGATGACGCCGCAGTGGCATGCCGGTGCACGGATCGCACCTCGGCAAGGGAGAGCCCGACCCCGGATCGCTGGCATTTGGAGGTTGATGGCCAGGCCCTGGCATACCGCATTGGCACCGACTTTGGCATGAAACTGGGCTCTTATTAGGGGATGTATATAATTGAAGCTACCATAGTAAGGAGATCATAGTATGTACGATAGATCCCTATTATGGTACGTAACTTAAATTAGATTCCTTAACAAGAACCCAGGAGAGTATCTGGTTGGTATGAGTGGCTTGATGAAGCCTGGTGTCCCAGTGCAGCCTGTGCCACTGCAGCCTTGAGCAATGAAGCGGCAACAGCCCATGTGGAGGGTTTCAGCGAGCGTGCCCTCAATGGGCCCTATGTAGAACTGGAGACGCTCCAGTCAGTTTATGTCCGCAGGTGCACGGGGGCTGAAGTCAGTCACAGACAACGGACAGCCAGGACGTGGCTGAAGGCGTCCGCCAGTGGTCCAGACTTTACATTGCGTTTCACGAACAGATGCGGCGACGTTGCAGAGCGGACGACTTCACCACCGTTTGACAGGTGGACCCCTGGGACCCTATAATGGGCTATATAATGGGTATATAATAGCTATATTAATAGGGTATATACCTAGGGGGGCTGTCAAAAGCAGAGGAATGATTGAAAGACTCATCGAATCGGGATGTCAGTCCTGATCTGGGTTTAATTATACCAAAGATTCCTTTTCCACATGCTAACATACTGATGTGTGAGCTACAAAACTGCAACCACCGCAGGACCGCAACAACATGTGTAGGTTCTGCACACTATCTGGGTTCCTTCCTGAGACTGGGCAGTATCTGAAGTTAGGTTCTTCACACTAAAAGGGTTCCTTCCTGAGACTGAGCAGGTATCTGAAGTAAAATCTAAATCAGTTAGTCGACCTTGATTGCCGTTCGTGATAGGTGCAGAAAACTACATCCTGATTGCTAAACCCGAACCGAAAACCAGGTGGCACATCGAAAATGGCTCGGATTGCAGAGCCTATCTTTGCAAAGCGGATCCTTGCCGCGGTACTTGGCAGGAGCTATACTCTTCTCCCACGGACGAGGTCCCCTCGGCGAGTTATTAGATTAGGGTTTAGGCGTTTCGGAGTTTAGGGCTTAGGATGCGCCATCTAAGCACCCCATAATTAACTTGAATCCAGACCTTTGCCCGACTCGAAACCGTCTCTGCTATGCAGAGCATGGTCGCTGGTCACGACAGTCTCGCCGGTCCCGAAATGCAGCACAAGGACAGTCTGACATAGTATGGGGCCCTTAATAATTAGAGCAGGGTTTTGGCGTTTGGGGTATAGGGAATTAGAGCTGGTGTTGGGGTATATTATACTCTAGCCACAGAGAAGGAACCCCAACCCCCACAGTAGTATTGATAACTATTTTGGCCCCTATGGTAGGGGGCTGTGGGTTTTGCCCAGGAATTACTGTTATGATTCGGGAAAGTATCTCCAACAGTACCTATAGGCGCCTTTTGGGAAGGTGATCATGAACGCATACACCTCGAGTCTGCCTCTGTACATTGGCAGCTGCGAGCGCGTCGGTGTCAGCATATGCGAGCCGCACTATGCCGCCACGAACCACAAGGAGTATTTTGCTGAGTGCTCCGAGGCCTACAAACCCTAAAACAGGCCCGAAGCCCTAATCCCTACCTTAACCGCCTTTTTCAGGACTTATATTATATAATGACATCATATTCAGGAGCCCCAAAAAGATAAGTTCTTCAGGGTCCAGGTAGACCCTATCCCCAAGTTTTTTGACTGAGTGTAGCGAGGCGTACTTCAGCACGGGGAGATTTCGGAACGACTACTTCCCATACATCCACACCGAGCTGAAGGCCTACGACCCCGCTGCCTATGCCATGTGCTTGCATATCTGGGGCCCTGTGAGGTCGGAGGGTGAGCTTGAGCCTCGGTATCTCCAGGAATTCTGTGAAGTCCCGGCGTCGACTTTAACGTCGAGCCCGGCTGCCAAGCAGCTCTTCTTAGAAAGGATCTTCGAAGCAGCGCAAGAGAGAGCTCGGCTGAAGCTGCTTTGCGATTCAGCTTCCAGCTGAAAAAGACCAGTCCTGATCTCGTAAGTCCTGTTGATGCCTCAGCGATGTAGTATATACCGAGGTCTGGATGCTTTGTGAAGGCTTAGTGCTTATTTGTGTAGCTAAATCCCCTCATAGTTGCCAGATATGGCAAGACGCTAACGTGGCCCCCGAAACCTACCATGAAGACGTCAGGCGCCACCATAGATTATTTCGTCCCTACATTTCAAGCATGCAAACCTAGATCCTGAAAAAGCGGATTATTTCCTTCGGTTTTTGGGGAGTTTGGGGTCTTCGGGTTTACGCATTCGGGATGCCGTTTCGGTTTAGGGATTAGGGCTTAGGGTTTAGGGATGCGGTTTCGGTTTCAGGCTTTTGGGTTTAAAAGCGAAGGGGGGGTGAGCACTACGCTGTGTCTGCGTCTCAGGGTATCGGGCCCAGGGTCGCACTTGAAGCAGAATCGGCTCAGTTTCTCTGTCTTACGTCGCATGTAACTAGCCAGGCTCCTACTTGGAGGATCATGGGACTAAGTAAGGTTATAAGTACCCTATTTGGGGTTATAAGTACAGTTACCCTAATTATAACCCTAGTTACTAAGTCCCATGATCCTTTAAGTACTAGGGACTTTCCCAAGGGTTCCTTCAACAGAGCTTTTGGGGCCCATCAGACGGATTTGAGACAGGTGGGGCGGGGGGAGGGGGTCTGGGAAGTCCACAAAGTGCAGCCCATGCATAGTTCTCCAAATGGGGTTCCTTTAGGGTCCTTTTGCAAGGGTACCGTACTATATATGTTGGGGACCTAGAAAGGGCAGTACATTGTGTGTCCAGCGCATGCCACTGACCCAAGGGCACGTTGGTTGTAGTTGCTTTTGAGTTTGGCACCGCTCTCAGAAGTAGGTGCAGGGTGCCGATGCGTACCCCAACCCTGCTTCAGGGTTCCTAGGCTCCTTCTCATGCGGTCCCTCTCGCTGAGGCGTTGCTGCAGGGGGGCTTCCGACTGCAAGGCAGGGTGGTGAGCTTTCAGGAAATCAGAACGCTCTCATCAGAAGCTAATCCCTACACCCTGAACCCACAGCCCAAACGGCAGAACATAACAGTGGCTCCAAAACCTGATCTGTAAACCCGAAACCCCAAATTCCTCAGCCTAAATTTAGAATCCTGAACATTTCTTTGGTCGAGTTGTCGAGTTCCGGAGCAGCAGCAGACACTTTGAGGGTTTATGTTTATTGGGTTCAGGGTTAGTTTAACGGTTTCTAGGGTTTAGCGTTTATGATTATTGGCCATTGGTTTAGGGTTTAAGGGTTCAGGGTTGAGGGGTTAGCACCCAAGGCAAGCCCCTAGACTACGGTCGGAATGCTTTGCAGTTTCTGGTAGTCCCGAAAATGATGACACTACACTGCACCCCAATCCCTGCAACACGATGCAAGAAATCAATTCATGCTCAGCGCAGGTACCACGGCCACCAGTGCCGTGGAAATTGTCAGCTCTGCCAAGGACCTGCAAGCCTACAGCCGCAACCCCAAACCGTAAACTCTCAACCACAAACCTTTGCCAGTGCGAAAATTTAGGTATGTTTCGCACCACTGTTTAGGCTCTATAGTTAAGAAGGATCTAACCAACCAGCCAACTTTCAACTTGTGCAATCAAGTCGATTTATGTGTTCACTTTAGCCTTCTATTGATCATTCAAGTTGTGTTTGCATCGGCAACCGCTTGCCAGCATCATTCCGGTTTTGGCTTTGTAGCCGGAACTCACTCGTTTGAGCATCTATTTGCGATTGGAACTCATGTGATCGGCTCTTCAGATTGCAGTTCTCCAATATAGGGGCCTAGATAATTAGCCATACTATTTTGAGGGCTCCTTATTATGAATATGTATAAAAAGGCACCCAAACCCTATTCTAATTATAGAGGCCCCTATAGTAGGGTCATCAACCCAGCTTTGCCTGCGCTAGAAAGAAGCAGTCGACCATTCCCACCGTCCAGGGCTTCGAACCCTAAACCCTACCTGTGGGGACCCCCAAAAGCACATAAGCATAATCATTTTATGGGGATATCCCTACCTTATTGGGCTTCATTATAAGGGGAGTTATATGGGATATCCCTACCCTAATTTTTGCTTATGTGCTTTTTGGGGTCCTAACCTGAACCCTGAAGAGCCTACCTTGTTAGGGCTCCTTCATATGATTTCCTTTTATGAGTCCTTAAAAAGGTCGGCTATTTGGGGTTAAGGTAAGCCCTAAACCGTGACCCGACGTAAAGGGAAAGAACGTCCGCACGCTGCTGATGAAGGATGACACCACAGGTGCAGAGTTTCAAGAAACAGTTTAAAAGCTCAGGGAGGATTTCGTGGCCTCCAACACGGAGAAACATATCTAGCACCTTCCTGATGGCCTTTGTGATGCACTCAGAGTGGAAGTGGTACAGATGATCCCGGGCCATGCCGCGTGCAACCAGGGGTCTACACAATCGACCCAACCCTCCCCACAAATGACGGCTCGAAAGGCTTTGCACTGTTGGTGACAATGGCAAGCTGCGCGACTCCAAATGTAGGGCTGAAAAGTACAGCAATTCTGGCTTTGCTTGAGTGGGCCTCCCCAGTGCCTTTTTTTTATGATGTTGATTCAATGCTGATTACTTCCATAAGAAAGCCAGGCTGTGGAAGCCTTAATCTGAAAGATTGTTTTTTCCAAGCTGAACGCTTGCTGGTGTGCCAGTCGCCTTGGGTCCGGGCTCCAAGCCTCCAACTCATGCTCAGACTATATGGGTGGTTGTCAAAATCATGGTCCCTTTTTTGGTGTACCCTAAATAGTAGGTGCCGTATAATAATAGGGACCCAAAGAGGGACCATACTTTTGACAACCACCCATATGTTTCATGACTCCGGGCACCTCTGAGGTCATACCCTGCCGCTTCTTTGGGGGACCTACTTTCCTATATAACAGATCCGAGCCTTAAAACTACGTCTCCTAACAACGGGGTAAGCCCCATGTACAACACCCTTCTGTAGCTCTAGGTTACAGTAGAAGCCCAAAAGTTGGAAACCCAACAGCGTCAATCCTTAAGAGCAATATATAGGGAATCCCAGCACTATTTGGCCTTAATCCGGTTTCCAACTTTTTGGGTTCTACTGTATCACCCAGTAGGTATGGCTGCAGCTGCCGTCTCCACTGAAATTCCTCGCTTCTGTTATGTTTGATGCACTACCGATAGGCCTGATACCACAAACGAAACCAGGGCAACCAACGAAAAGGGACTAACATGCAGACTTAGGTAAACCAAAGAAGCTCTGGCAAGATAGGTTTGTGAGTGTCAAGGTATAAGTAACCCGTAAACCCCAAACCCTATCAAACCCCAAACCCGACATCCCAAGCCTGAGCCCTGAGTGCTGAAGAAGTCCGACAGGAGACTTCTGAAGAATGCAAGCTCAGTTATCCGAGGGGTACTTGGAAGGGCAGGGGACTTAGTAAGTAGGTAATAAGTAGGGTTATAATTGGGGTAAATCCATTTAGGGAACTTATAACTCTACTTATAACCTACTTACTAAGTCCCCTGCCCTTCCAAGTAGAGCGTAGGGCTGAAAGGTTTAGGGACGTCGGCCTTGTGGTTGTTAGAGTACTCTTTAGGGTTTAGGGTTTAGGGTTTAAAGTTGAGGGTTTAGGGTTTAAGGTTTAGGGTCTATAGGGTTTAAGGTTTAAAGTGTAGAGTTTAGGGTTCAGGTTTTGGCATGGGCGAACCTATGTTGCGATTGTATTGGGTGTGGAGACATGACTACGATAATGGTCTGGGCAGTTAATTGCCAATAATCCGGGCTTAGTAGCACTTTGTTTGCAGTTCTTGGTATGGTCATTCTGACTAAGCTATAGTACGCTCCAAAACCGCCTTCTGGATGTCAAGACCGCTTTCAGCTATAATGCACCCAGCTATGGGGAGCTCCCTCAACCTCTACCCCGGCAGTCCGAAACACCCTCAACGTAGATCGCAAGCCTTCTAAGCCTAAGCCGTCTCCCTAAACCCCAAGCCCAAACCCTAAACTCGCAACCCTAAACCCTTAACCCTTAAACCCCAAACCCCCAGAACAAACAGCTCATTCTCCAGACTCCAGCATGCCGCAGTTGGTCAGAACAGGAGCTGGTCAGAGCCGGCGCCGTTGTGCTGGTTCTGGAGATGGTACCGGAGGAGGTGGGCTTCAAGTTTGGGGTTTGAGGGTTTACATAGGGTTCAGGGTCTAAGAGGCTAGGCTTTTAGGTGTTTAGGATTTGAAGGTTTTGGGGTTTATATGGGGTTCAGGGAGGGCGGGGCGTGTCTGAGTTTAGATTCAGTTCTGCAGAGAACATCGAAGACAGGCAGGGTAGGGCAGTTTCGAGCTATGGCATTGTGGATTCTTCGCAAGGTCCAGCTGCTTTGGTTCAGTCACTGAGGCTTTGGGTGTAGAGGATACTATCAGCATGATATTGCAAGACATGATGTGACACTGCCCAAGCCGGTACTCAGGTTTATAGACGAGGGTCAGCCGCGATGAGTCCGCAGGTGTGCTGGGTTTGTGGGCTCGGGGTTTAGGATTTTAGGGTGCAGCCTTTTAGGGTTTTCGGGTTTAGGGTTTTCGGGTTTAGGGTTTAGGGTCGTTCTGGATGTTGAAGTCTCTGGGCTGTGATTGCTCATTTTCGGGACGCCTTGGAGATTTCGGGTGCTTTGGAGTACTTGAAGTTGACTTCACATGCCGCTGCGTTTGGAATCATGAGTCATCCATCGTTCAGCTGCCTGTTTAGAGACTGCTTGCATGGATTGTTGGATCATTTTCTCTTGCTATGATGAGCTACAGGATACTAAAACATCACAAGTCGCAAACCTTAAGTTGTGTTCCCCTAAACCCCTAAACCCTAAACCCCGCATTGTCAAACCGTAAACTTGAACTCGAATCTCCAAACTTCCCTAAAGCCGCCATCCTCAACCCTACATCCTATCGTGTCGGTTGAAAAGCCCAAAGGCTCCATGTACCTTTATAGTAGATACTTAGGCCTTAAAGGGGTCCCTATATAGGTATTTTAAGGCCTAAGTATATACTATATGGGTACATGGAGCCTTAGGGAAGAGCCCTAAAAAACCGACACAAAAGCCGACAAAAGCAATGGCTGCGGAGCAAGATCCCTCATTCTTGCGATGGCTGGTGCTTCTCTGCATGTTCGGATTGGGGCTGGTACAGGCCGTCGGTTGGATGAACCCAGTGCTCATTTCAGCAATGTGGATGGTTGTCAAAATTAAGGTCTCTTTTTGGATCCTTATTATAGTACGGCACCTCATATTTAGGGTACCCAAAAAGGGACCATAATTTTGACAACCACCCATGTGTTTCGGGTTCAGATGTCTAGTGCTTTTAGTGTAGGGTTGTCGGTCTACCGTTTTGGGTTTGGAGTTTGGGGTTTGGCCTTAGAGTTTAGGGGTCCAGGGCTTGAGTTTAGGGTTTCTAGGGTTTAGGGTTTTTGGGGTTAGGTTTTCGGGTTCGCGGTGACAGTCGGTAGTCCAAGGGGACCCCTGGGTATATACCCTTAATATAGCTATTATATATACCCATTGTATAGCCCATTATAGGGTAGGGGTCCCCATTAAGGGTCGCTCCTTTTCCCCTTTGATGTAGGGTTGATCGGGGTAGGATGCAGTCTTCGGCTTCGGATAAAGCACTTGGTCGTCGTGAAATCAGCCCAAGAGAAGAGCTCACTTCGACCCTGATCAATAAGCCCCGTCCTTGTAAGGGCCTTAATAGTTAAGATCCATACTACCAACCCTACAGTTAAATAAATGCCAATCATTTACAAGCCTTAAGCGGGCTTCGTTTCAGGATATCAAACCTTGCAAACGTTAAGAGATATGTGCGTTGCGTTGTCTTGCCCTCTTTTGGGTAGTGGTGTTGTCTTCAAACGGGCTTGCATGCAGAGCTCAGCGTTTGCAGGGCTTCCAGTTCGGCCAGAATTTGTGTGTTAGGGATGTCGGGTTTAGCATGGAGGGTTGAGGGTTTAGGGCTTTAAGGACTTGGGTTCAATGAGGCACATGGCCCCGTGGAACAGGATATTAGCTTTGAAGGGTAAGGATTTGTTTGTTCTTTTTTCCAAGGTGTTCAGGGTTCAGTTTCGGAAGTTTCGGGCTTTGGTACATACTTGCCGCGCTTGGATGCAGAGTTCCATGGCAACTCCACGTGATGAACTGGCAGGGCATGCAAGACGGTGTGCCAAAATCTTGAACCTAAAGCTAAACCGTACGTCCCCAACAGTCTTAGCCGAAAACCCGGTAGAACCCTAAAACCCTACTTCCCAATCCTGTGAAGGTCTACCTTAACCCCATATAACCTACCCTTCTAAAAGACTTATATAAGGAAATCATTTTCAGGAGCCCTAACAGGGTGGTAGGTTCTTCAGGGTCCAGGTAAGCCCTAAAACCTTCAAACCTACAATCCATCGACCGAGGACTTACAGTGCCAATCCAGACATAGCTGCTGATTTTTACGGCTTCGAGAACCCGAAGGCCTGCGTCCTCTTATTCTTGGCTGAAAACTTAACTTTTCAACTTTTGGGGTTCTTATAAGGTAGTCGATTCTGAAAGTTTCAACTTTTATTTCCCTGGGTTTTGGACCAGTGAGTCTTTGAGGGAGTCAGACTCTTGAGGGTTTAACGGTTCAGAGGGTTCAGGATTTCCATTTTTCAAGTTGCCCCTTCTAGGCCCCTTGTGGCTTTTGTTGTATATACTTTCAAGGGCCACAACAAGTGTATACACACATACATCCATGCATACATACATACATACATACACACCCATATACGCATGCACTAATACATCCATCCATGCATGCATGCATGCATGCATACGTGCATACATACATGAGGGTACCTGCACCGTTCACGTACATGCACGCCCTGTGCTTGACCTCCCATTTTCTCTTCTGTGTACCTTTAGAAAAGAGAGTCCGGAACCGAAGGCGTCCATCGACATGCTGCTGAACTGGGGTCCCATCATGTACTTGCCCGTGGCGCCCGTTGCGGGGTGGATGACACTCGGCGCTCGTGCTATTCAAAACTCTGAGCTTGGCACCCTTAGATCCTACATCCTCAGCCCTGACTCCAAGTCCGCGATGCTAAGCCCTAAGCCCTGATCATCTTCCGTAAGCCCAAATCCATGTCGAAGATGTCAGGGTTATCAAGGCCCTGTTCTATGCTTGAGGCGATACATATATATATATATACATACAAATAAACGTACATATTTATGTGTGAGATAGATAGATAAAACGAAAGATCATTAGTGTTGAGGGTTTTGGATTCGCAGGTTTGGGGCTTACGTTGAGCGGTTGCGTTGGTTTGTGTAGGAGAGAGCTAGCTGTTTGAAAGAGAGGCTCCACATATACTACCATGCTGGAAGTAGGTCAGCAAAACCTTAATAAGCATGGTCTTTTAGGACCTCATTCCAGAGTGGTAGTTTATATGGACCCTCTGGGTCAGTGTGAGAGATTTGTAGAGTAACGTGTCTGTATCATTGCAACAACACCCTCAACCCCTTCAGGCGGGCCTTTCACTTGGATTCTTTTGTGCCTTGTTGTTTATGTTGCGCAACCCGCAATGACCCCCCTCAGCCCCGAAGACCCTAAAGCCTTAAACCCTGAATCCGAATGCCCCCTTCAAGCGACAAGTTTAGAGGACAAAGGCCTAAACCTTGGCCTTAGAGTCCAAACTCTGCTGAAAAACCAGGTTCGGCGAAGCCTCATTTTGGGGTGCCAAGACCGACCCTCAATTTGGCTTCCACTTTGATATAGGGGCGTCATAGTAGTAACAGTCAGAGTAGGTCTCGATTTTTCCGTCTGAAACGGGTCCATAAGGGTTACTATAGTACATGGATCTAAGGGCCTTAACAACCCTAAACCCTAAACCTGCTTCAGCGGAGTTTTGATGTTGAAGTGAGCAGTTTTTGTTGTTTAAGGGCTCCTTTTTCAAACGTAGGGTTTCCGTTGGAATGGGTTCGTGTCAAAACGGTCTATGAGGGTTGCGAAAAGGATTACTACAAGGGTTCTATGAGATCGGAGCCTTGATGCATGGACTGGGGTTTGGGGATACAGATTGGAGTAGAGTTAGCCTGAAAAATCCTAAGACATACTCTCCCCAAATATACCGACCCTAAATCCTAAACCCGTCCGACCCATCTAGCTGCACAAAGGATCGCGCGGCATCCGGACAGCATCTGGGCCGTGGTCTTCTGTGGGGGCGCCCTGACAGCGGCAGGCTGGCACTTAAAACCCGACTTTGGAATCCCTCCGACAACCCCGTTTATAGCCTTGGTAAAAAGTCTAGGCTCCTGAGTAGTACCCGTTTGCCTTTTAAAGTGTACCCTCATTATAGAAAGGCTACTACTTAGGAACCTAGAAGTATAAAGGTACATGGGTCCTGAGGGCTTGGCACAAGAGGTTTACGCTGTCGGGCTTTAGGATTCGTATGTTACCTATAGTCTCCATTGTAGTTCCTTTTTTGATTAACCAGTTTATGGTTAGGACCCTATACTATATTAATTTATAAAAAAGGAATTACAATGGAAACTATAGGTGGGGCACTGGGCATCAGAAGCTAAGGGCTGGCGGGGTGCTTTGTTCGACAGATGGGGCGCTACATCGCATGCCGGAATCCTGAACCCTTAACCCCTTAACCCCTGAACCTTAAACCCTAAACCGGAATCCTGAACCCTAAGCCCTTTAACCCCTAAACCCCTGAACCTTAAACCCCTAAACCGGAATCCTAAACCCTAAACCCCTGAACCTTAAACCCTAAACCGGAATCCTAAACCCTAAACCCCTGAACCTTAAACCCTAAACCGGAATCCTAAACCCTAAACCCCTGAACCTTAAACCCTAAACCGGAATCCTGAACCAAGCACGATCCCAAGCCGAAGACCATGAGCCCACCGTTGGCATCTCACCAGCCCAAAACCTCAACTCGAAAGCCCCAAACCACAACCTTCCAAAGAAAACGTAACTAAGCAGAAACCTACAACCCCAAAGGGTGCACATACCATTATAGTAGGTGCTTCGTACCCTAAAGTATATACTATTTCGCTACGCGGACCTTTTGGGAACAGGTAGGGTTGTCAAGGTTTCAGGTAGGCCCTAAAACCTGGAGAAGCAGCTTGGTCTTCAATCTCTATGACCCCTCCAACTTCTGAGGGATTCCTTTTTCATGGCTTACACTTGGAAGGGCAGGGGACTTAGCAAGTAGGTTATAAGGAGGGTTAGAATTGGGGTAACTCCATTTAGGGTACTTATAACTCTACTTATAACCTACTTACTAAGTCCCCTGCCCTTCCAAGTAGACCCTAAACCCTAAACCCCATAGACCCCTTTAAGGAACCCTACAGATCCCTTTAAGGAGCCCTTTAAGAGCCCTTCCTAAGTCCCCTGCCCTTCCAAGCAGGGTTCAACCCGAAGCTACAAGCCCCCAAGGCCCTTAATCCTAAGCTCCTGACCCTAAGCTATATGGAGCCTGTGCAACCTACCCTTTCAGTGCTCCTTATTATCATTTTGCGATAGAAATCCGTAAACTGTACGATTGTTTTGAGGGGGGCCAATGAACGTCCTAAGCACTAAACCTCAGTTCTAAGCATCTTCCCATGTCGCGGAGGGCTAGTTCTGCGCATTCTACCAACACTTCTTGGCTTTCATCCAACGTCTCTGCCGCTTGGTCTGGCGCTTTGGGGTTTGGGGATTCCGGGTGTTCCTTGGGAGAAACATACTTCAGCGATATTCTAACGACCAGTGGATGCAAGAGTTGTTATGGTTATTTTCCAGTCGAAAGGGGGTTAGGGGTTCTGGAGATGACGGCTTAGATCTGTAAGAAGTTTGGGCTCATAGGTTCAAGTCTCTTTTGTGTCTGTGTTGTATGCTTCTTTCGTGTTGTTCTTTGGGGGTGCTTCGAAGTTTTGCGGCTTCGCTGCGAAGAACGCCTGAGCCTAAGCCCAAACCCCAAACTCCAAATCCTAATATGGGCCGCATACCTGGAACCCCAAGCCCTAATCCTTAAAACGAATCTTGAGCAAGAGCCAGACCCAAGAAACGATCCGCAAAGCCCAAGCAAACTGCAAGGATCGTCCACGGCTGCATCCACGTCGGTCAGGCTTCCACAGTACTTTTGGGTTCAGGGTTAGTTTCAGGGGGTTGGAGGTTGGGGGGAGATCTGGTGTATTTCTGGTTTGTCGGGCTGAGTTTATGAGTTTCGCAGGTTAGCACTTGATTTTACGAATTAGAGGGCTTGGGGCTCGGGGCTTAGGTGGAATCCTCAAGCCCTGGGCCCTAATCCCTGCCTGCAAGCGAGTGGTTTCTGTAAGTAGATGATCCTGTGTCCTACTCTTAACTTACTTTGGTTAGTAGGGAATTGGAAGAATGGTAGTTATAGTAGCTATAACTGTACCCCATTCCTCCATTCCCTACTAACCAAAGGTAAGTTAACTTGGTAGGGACAGCGAAGCCTGTTCCTGTGAATGCCCAGTCAGGGTACGTAGCACGGGTGGCTCTGGCTCGCTTTGCTTGCAGGAGTCAGAGGTGCAGTGCATCAGAAAACCCAAACCCTAAAACCTAAACCCTAAATTCTAAACCCTAAAACCTAAACCCTAAATTCTAAACCCTAAAACCTAAACCCTAAATTCTAAACCCTAAAACCTAAACCCTAAATTCTAAACCCTAAAACCTAAACCCTAAACGGCCAAACCCCGTATAGACAGCAACACCCGAAAAGGAACTTGTGTGTTAGAAGCCCCCGAAGCCCCGGGGTTCTGAAGTTTAGGGTTTAGGGTTTAGGGTTTAGGGTTTAGGGTTTAGGGTTTAGGGTGTAGGGTTTAGGGTTTAGGGTTTAGGGTTTAGGGTTTAGGGTTTAGGGTTTAGGCACAGTCAAAAAGAGGCCTTGAACGGAGCTGCTGGGCCTGCAAACTGCGTGACGCCTTCGGCATTGGCTGCCATGTGGTGCCCAAGATCTTTATCTAGGATGCCCTGTAGTACCCTTATTCCCTTTTTGTAGTCCTAGGTTCCTTATAAAGTTACCCAATACCAAAATCCTAAACCCTCAACTCTAGTCCTTAGCCCTAATCAGGGAGCCCTGTTTATTGCTAGGTTACTGGGCATCCTAGTTGTTCATTAGTTGGCAGCTTTCGGGGTTTGAGGTTGACCGAAGGGTTTAGGGTTGTGGGTTATGGGGTTTAAGGATCATGGTAGTTTGAGTAGGGTTGATTGTTTCGAGTTTAAGAGTTTAGGGTTGTGGGTTATGGGGTTTGAGGATCACGGTAGTTTTGGTTTAGAGTTTAAGGGTTTCTAGGGTTGTGGGTTATGGTGTTTGAAGATCATAATGGTAGTTTAATTTAAGTAGGCTAAGTAGGTTTGAGGGTTTGGAGTTTCAGGGTTTAGGGCCTGGGTTTACGGTAGTTTAGGCAGGGTGTATGGCCGAAGTTTTGGTTTTAGGGTTCTAGCGTTTAGGGTTTTGGGTTCTGGAATATTGAGGTTTTCTATTCGCATGGCTCTGTATAGCTCTGTGAACCCTCACATCAGGTTCCCACCACACCAGCGTGGCTTCGCGACATCTGCCGTCTTCGCGATTCTTAATGCTGAATCAGTACACTGTACACTTTTGGAGAGCCAAGTATCCGTTAAAGAACTGACGTTTTCAGGAACTGAGGATTCAAATGGCAGGACCAACCCTGGGATTCTTGCTCGGCCTCTGTGTTCGGTCTCGCAATGACCTGGTGTTGCTCTTGGAGGTGAAACTGCGTTACCCAAACGATCCAGGAAATGCAGGGCTCGCAAGATGTCGTTGTACTTCCGCTATCTCCCTGTATACTTCTACTGCAACGTGATGATCTGCCCCAAAACCCTGTTCGAATACATGCCCTATACGCACCTTTAATGCAAGTTGAACCAGTTCGGAATCCCTAAACCCTACACTTGAACTCTGCACCCTACATGTAGGCTCATACCCTACCCCTTTCTTTGGGTATCTACTAATCCATAAACCAGATTCTGACCATAAAACTAGGTATCCTAAAATAGGGGTAGGGTATGACGAGCCTAAAGGAAACTCCAGAAAGTTGGAATATGGTTTCATGGTAGGATACCCTATAATTTACCATAGAAGGGTTAGGATAATCATATTCCAACTTTCTGGCTTTTACTTTATGAACCCCTAAACCCTAAAACCCTAAACCCTAAACCCTAAAACCCTAAACCCTAAACCCTAAAAGGTGGAGGCAGCCATGAGTGTTGCCGTGCTCGCTGTTTGGGCGTGCTTGCCTCGAAAGCCTTCGGTGCCCCCCTCTCGGAGTCAGGAGACGGGCTTGGGGTTGAGGGGTTCGGGGGGTTTAGGGTAGGGGTTTAGAGTTTCTGAGGTTTAGGTTCTCGGGTTTGGTAATCAGGCATTGAGGGTTTAAGGGTTTAAGGGTTAAGGGTTGAGGGCATGAGTTCATGCTTAGTGGTCGAGCGCATGAAGGTTCCGGGTTTACGTGCTGCACCAAAAACCTTCCAGCTGCTGGCTTTTGCAGACGGCACTTGGAACGTGCAAGCCCGCCGCTTTTAAGACCCAAGAAACAAGTATATACATAAGTCATAATACTAATATTGAAAATTGAAAAGATGCTACAAGGTTGGTGTTTTTGGTGCTGCAGGTCGTGGTTTCGGAGTTTTGGGCCTTCAGGCCGTTTCGGTTTAGGGTTCGCTTTTGAGCTTGGAAGATTCGGTCTTACCGTTGATATGAGGAGTGTCTTTGTTGGAGGGTTTAGGATTTAAGTTGTTTTGTTCGTGGCTCAGCCGTCTGCTAGATGCTAAAGCTACTGTTGATGGACAAAATCCTGCATTACCCATTATAAGGAATATACCATAATTCCCACAGCTTAGGGTCCTTAAGGTCATGCAGGATTTTGTCCATCAACAGTACTATGGGTGTTGTCTCTATTGGAAGGGGGCATGCATTGACCGGACAGGACACTCGGCTGCCTTGGCATAGCACTGATTCTGATGTGACGCATATGGGTATGTACCTACAGTATGCACATATACACACAGGCAGACAGTTCGACTACGAGAGAGAGAGAGAGAGAGAGAGAGAGAGAGAGAGAGAGAGAGAGAGAGAGAGAGAGAGAGAGAGAGAGAGAGAGAGAGAGAGAGAGAGAGAGAGAGGGAGAGAGAGAGAGAGGGAGATGACAGAGAGAGACAGAGAGAGCGAGAGACTCACACCCGGAACACCTTCTGCGCATTTATATAACTTCCAGCTAGACCGTACAACTTCAAGCCTTCGGCCTCTAAGCCCTTTGATTTGGGAGCTTCCGAAAACTTGGGGTACCTTGTTTAGGGGTCCTTATTATAAGGATCCTACCAATTAGGGTACTATATTAGGGTCCCCTATTTTCGGAAACTCCCATTTGTAAAACCTATACAACCAACCCCAGTGCGGGCAACTTCCCAAAGCCCTATCAAACCATTTCGCGGGCTTAAACACCAAACTCTCCTGAAACACCCTAAATCCTGCACCCTGAACCCTAAGCCCTACAAGCCCTAAACCCTACACCCTATGTATATATATATATATACATGTATGTATATATATATATATATATTTATTTATTTATTTATTTATGTATCCTGAATCCCACCCGCAATCCTACACCCTACACCCTAAGCTCCCTAAACCCCTCATGGAACTGCCTGAAGCAATGCAGAGCATCTCAACTGCCCCGCAAGGAGATCCGACGATCCGGCGAGCCGCAGGCAAACAACAGGGGCAAGATTTAGGGTTTGGATTGGGAAGTGTAGGGTTTGGGGAGCTGGAAGTTTGGGGAGTTTAGGTTTCGGGTACATGGAGTTTAGGGTTTAGTAGGATGTACTCAGACAAGCCACTGGAATCGCCAAGGGTCGGGGTTTTCAGGAACAGCACGCAGCGTAGGGTGGACGTTCTAAGGTCTGAGCCCTGTAGACCGTAAACGTAGACTTTGAACCTGGGACATCCTTACCCTAAGGGTCCATGTGCCCAAATAGTATATACTTTGGGCCCCATGTACCTATATAGGGACTACATTAAGGCCAATGTATATACTATTTAGGTACATGGACCCTTAGGGTTATATAAACACAAGCTCTAAACCCTAAACCTTGTATTTCTGTAAGGTCTCAACCAAAGGACCGCCTGAACCCTACACCTTTGATCCCTAGACCATAAGACCCGTGCCCTTATGTGTAACATAGGTATATGGGGTTTAGGGTTTAGGGTTTAGGGCTATATGGTAGATCACAAGACATAAACCTTAACCGACATCCCATTCCTTATTGCAGGCAAGCGCGGTGCCTCGAAGACGTATGATCTCCACGTGGGTCCTCTTACTGGCAGCAGGGGCTGTCGTCGGAGTTTTCCAGTGCTGGTCGCCCGCTTTACCCACGCAGCTTCAAGGTGGAAGATGGCAAATTACACGTACAGGGATGGGAGGGTTGGGTTTGGGCTTTAAGGTTTAGGGTTTAGGGTGGGGTGTTCCTGAAATGTCGGGTCCCTTCGGGGTAGCCAGGTTTTCCTCATTGAGGATCCCACAGCTAACGGTTTGTACTAGGGTCCCTCACGTTTCTGAAGCTGCCACTTCAAGGCGAATGTAATCGGGCAAACCTAAGCCACAAAGCCTTAACCTGAACCCTTCAACATTGCAGCCCAAGCCAGGACCCCCCAAGTGCCTTGTAATAGAGCCCTTGTGGGCCTTAATAGTGGGTATTTGGGTTTTAGTAGAGGGTAATTAGGGGGGCCTGGGAACCCTACAATTGGTTTGGCAGTTTATTTGCCCAGAAGAGGGTCGCAGTTCGAAATTTAGTACGTAAGGCTCCAGGCAGCGAGCGGACAGATGTTTTTTGGGTTTCGAGTTTGGGTTTAGGGGACGGCTTAGGGCGAGTCTGAGGGCTTGTGACTTAGCAACCGCCCAGCCCTTGTCATATTCTGCATGCTTCGCCAGGAGTGTTGCCTGAAACCGTACTCAAATGGTTTGCCGTGATCACCTCGCTGGCTTCGGTGATTGGGAACTTTACTGCCCCGCAGCTCATTGAAACTTGGGGGTAGTTAGAAATAATGTTCAATTTTTGGTTATTATAATCCCTAAGAAACAGCTGAAATTATAATTTTGCTAGGGTTCTAAGTTCAGTATAGGAAATGTTGCATTTGCAACATCGCCTGAAGTCGGTCTTGGGGGTGACCTTGTGCCTGCAGCTGGTGGCTTATGCGCTCTTTGCAGTGCTTCTTCCGGACAGCCCTCTGCCTCTCATGAAGGGTTCGACTGGGCCGCTTGCTTCAAGCTCGTGGCCGAAACGTCCGATAGTGTCGGATGCATGGGGAAGCACGCGGTTAGCGCGCGTGTGTGTGTGTGTGTGTGTGTGTGTGTGTGTGTGTGTGTGTTTTTGTTTGTGAGAGAGAGAATATGTAAGTTGATGCATCACCATTGCATGCCATTACGTCGCCTTGCTTTATAGTCTTGCTTAAGCGCATCCCAGGTCGCTGATGGCATGCGTGGTGCTGGCTAGCATTGCTGAGGGTGCCATGGCACCCATTGTCTACGAGCTCAGCGCCGAGCTCACTTATCCCATGTCGGAGGGAGTGACAGGACCATAGTATGGTGCGGGCGGGGTCGTGTACACAGTCCCTATTTTCATGGTGATATATAGTATACCCCAAGCCCCATTCTGAACATTACGACCCCTGTGCGAAACCCTTGGCCCTAAAGCGTAAAACCCGAATGCGCAAGCCCAAAGCCTAAATCCGAAACATCCAGAGAGTTTTCGTGTTCATTTTTACCCCGAAACTCTAACACAAGGGAGTGGCAGGAGCAGCATTCTCCTGGCTGATCAACTTCTTCGGAATGGTTCTGCTAGCTGTCTATCCTGCGGCTTGGGCCAGTTGCTGTATTTCCTATATAGTTTCCATTGCAGCTGTGGTGGGTTGCGTATATGTTTTTGTTAAATTTCTTGGCTGTAAACTTAACTTTTCAACTTTTGGGGTTCTTATAAGGTAGTCGATTCTGAAAGTTTCAACTTTTATTTCCCTGGGTTTTGGACCAGTGAGTAAACCAAACAAGAACTACAATGGAGACTGTAGGTAGGGCTTTGGGTTGACATAGGCTTTTCTGTTTATGCATCTCGAAGGCCTAGAGACGGATTTCTTCAAGGCTTACCAAAAAGGCCATTCTAAGGGCTACTAGCGGCTATTATAAGGTATAAGGGCTACCATGAGGGCGACGACAAGGGCTACTATACAGGAAGTCTACGGATTGATAGTGCAATATCTTGCGGGTGCTTGTCGCGGCTCGGCCCCGGGTGATTTCTATGTTTTCTAGATTGTCGAGGCCGGACTGAGAAATCAGCTTCTGCTTTCACCTCATGTCATGGTTCCCCGCAGCTCCCAAGGAGTCCGCATGTACCCGAACCCCAACCACGCAACGCTGATTTCAGAAGATTAACTCCTATCCTGGCTGATGGGGGTTCCATTGCGGCACCTCCTCGCCTTCCTCAACCCGACACCTTGAGAAAACACAGCTTTGAAGCTGAACAATTGGAAAAGGACATGCTGAGATCCCCTATAGTGCATCCCTCCCCCGCCTTGATTATGACTACAAATTAAGGCCCCAATGTGGACCCAGGTCGGGAAGAGTGTGGCTAGTGACGTTGATTCTTGAAGGTTTCTCGGGTCTAGGAGAGCGCGATGTTGCTACACATGATAGGCCCATCAGAGGATATCAACATCAACTTTAACTATTCAAACCTCTATCGTAGGGTTGAGCCTGCCAAGGTGGTCCCTTCAGCTTACGATTCGATCATGATGGTGGCCGTCAGCGCTGTGGCACTGATTGGGCTCCAGCTTGTCATTGCAGAGTATCCCCGAAGGGAGCTGGACGACGGCGCCTGTGGAACCGAGCTCCTTCGTGACTAGACGCCAGCGTTTGGTGTAAACCTGTGGTCATGAGCAAATCTTCAAGATTGACTACAACTTATGGTGTGTGTATATTATATATATATATATACACACGCATATTATATGTATATATATATAGAGAGAGAGAGAGAGAGAGAGAGAGAGAGAGAGTGTGTGTGTGTGTGTAGGGTAGTACGCCTGCAATCCCTTCACTCGGATCCAATCAAGGCCTCCCCCTCAAGAAACCTGCGGTCATGCTGCGGCAACCACGTTGCCAGAGCCAAAAGAGCTCTCCCTAAGGGTCCATGTACCTATATAGTATATACTTTGGGCCCAATGTACCTATATAGGGACTACATTAAGGCCAATGTATATACTATATAGGTACATGGACCCTTAGGGTCTTCTAGCATCTGGCCGAGAAAAGCTATGGCTTTGTTGGGCTACAAGTACGGTATTACGAGGTTTAGGCTCCGTGTTGAACTTCCGAAACCCATTCTCTTGTAGGGCCCCTATAAAGTGTTTTCGGGTTCAGGGTGGGGATCTACGAAAAAAGTAGGCTATGGTAGTTCAAGGTAGAGTCTTTAATACCTTGACTACGCTTGCACGTTCCGGCCCCCTAAATCCCAAACCTGTACCCTAAACCGAAGCTGTCAGGATCGACATGGGCCAAACGGCAGACAAAGATCCCAAAACTGAAGCACGAAATCCCTAGATCCCAGATCATTTGGGAGTTTCCGAGAATAGGGGACCCTAATATAGTACCCTAAACAGTAGGTTTCGTATTATGAGGACCCCCAGGCTACATGAAGTTCTGCAATCCGTGTTCCTTCTGTCTCGCGGAGGGTTTCAGGTAACAGCCGATGGAAGAGTCTGCTTGCTTCGGAGACTTGATGACGGTAGCGGTTTAGGGTTAAGGGTTTGGGGTTTAGTGGTTTAGGGTTTAGGGTTTAGGATATTCTACAAGAGTATAGACATTGAAAAATTAGAAGGGTTTGGGGAATGATGGTGTTTCTTGTTGGCTCCGAGATGCGGAAAAGGAAAACCTCTGACTCTGTGCGATACGACCCGTTCGTGCATGCTAACCCTCCTCCATGGGATATGACATAAGTCTGTTGATGGTTCACTTGGTCCATAAGATCGGACCAAATGACACTTAAGCAGTATGGCGCCTTACCTCACGCATACCAGAATCAAACCATATAAGGGATATAGGGGCTCTTTTGGGCCCATAAGGGCTGGACCTGCTTCTGTTGTGCACATGTGTGGATCAGGTTGGTTTGGCTGCAGGGCGCCCAAGATTCGCCCGACATGCACAGCTTGCTTTGAAAAGTTCAACTGGCTTCACAGGACTTGGCAGAAGGGTTTGATAGAGCTTAGGGGGGTGATGGTTTCTCAGGGGTTCAGCATGTTTTCTTTTAGGATCATACACGGGTGTATATGGTTAACTAAGCACTAAGGGATGTTCTGGAAGTCCGTTTGAAGCATACGTTGGGATTACACTGCCTTTCTCAGAAAAGCATAGCTGAAAAGGGGGCCTGCCTCGTGAGGGAGACAGGTATTTTCGAACAACTAGCCTGTTCATGAAAGGCGTACTGCAGGGGCTTCGTACTGGTCCCTTTTGTGAGGACAGTTGAGGTCTTGGTATCCGAAACCCCGATTGTTGAGGGTCGTATGTACAGACTGTAAGCACCACCAAAAGCTTGAGAAGTTATATATATATATATATATATATCCATTCGAGCCAATGGGCGGCCCTGCTGAAAGACAAACAGGTTTTGGCAGCTTGATATAGACTTATATAGACACAATAGCTGAATGAGTTCAGTTTGCATTTTGTCGACAATATTCTCCTCATTGGGTCTGCTTCTGAACTCAGCAGCTACGGGTACTATTAGGATTTGTTGGGGTGCCGGCGCTGTGCTTTGGGCACTGCCGGGATTGAGAATAGAGCATGCAGACCAGGAAGCCTCCACGCGGCCTCCACGAGCATCGAAGTCACCGTTTCCAACACGCTCTACTAGTGGAAAGGGCCCGGCAAAGAAGGGCAAGTCCAAGCCGGGCAAGGGCGAAGGCGCATCATCATCAGGCATGGCACCGGTAACGCAGCAGTCGCTGCTTGCTGACGTTGTTCGCACGTTAAGTGGCTCATGAGGACGAGCTTCTGGCGCTCAAGTTCAATCACTCCTTCTTCATGTACGCCACAGTTAACGAGCAGGAGAGCATCATCCCTCACCTGGGCAACGCCCAGGCCCAGGCGTCCATAAAGCCTTGGCACCCACATTGACATGACAAGCCCGTCTGCATCCATGGAAGAGGCTACTCTAGAAAGTTCTGCAGCCACTAAGCCCTGCACATCGCCAGCCTTAACAGCAGAAGCCTTAAACCTCTATACCAATTTCATAGTACTATACGAAACTACGTGAAACCACATACAACTTGATAAACCGAGTATTCAAGAGAAACGCCGACCAGGTCCAGTCGTCACTTCCCGAGACGCCAGTCATCGGCATTGGCGCGGGCGGCCGCGTCGCGGGACAGGCGGCATCTCTTCCCTTTAACTTAGTAGCACAGTGTGTAACCTTTAGCCTTTTGTATGATCCTAGAATAATTGAAAAGGTTCAGGGTCCTTGCCTTTCACCTTTGGGGGTTTCTATAATCCTAACATACCTGACAAGGTCAACCCCTTCTTGGGCTCAGGGTACTCAGACTCTACTTGGAAGGGCAGGGGACATAGTAAGTAGGTTACATGTAGGGTTATAATTGGGGTAACTCCATCTAGGGCACTTATAACTCTACTTATAACCTACTTACTAAGTCCCTAAACCCTAAACCCCATAGATCCCTTTAAGGAACCCTATAGATCCCTTTAAGGAGCCCTTTAAGAGCCCCTACAATGTCCCCTAAAGCCCTTCCAAGTAAGTTAAGGTCACTTTATACTCGGAGCCTAGAGGAGATCGACGGTTCTGGGGCTGCACCCATAGGTTCCATAGGAGTTCCTTTTTTGTGGTTCATAAACAGAATCTCCTATAAGGTAATACCAAAAAGGAACTACTATGGAGCCTATGGGTAGTTTGTAGGGCCTCAAGGGGTGGGGGGTGGAGTTTCGGGCTTTAGGGTGTTAGGGTTTAGGACTTAGGGTGTAAGGTTTAGGGTGCAGGGTTCAGGGATAAGGTTGAGGGAAGCGCATGACTGCACGTAAAGTCCAAATATCTGACCCTAAAGGTTCAACTAAATGAAGAAACCATACTGGCACCCCTAAGCAGGTATGGATTTCCGGGCTACAGATGGGTAGCCCGTATCCTAACCTTGAGCTGTAGAGCGCGGAAACCCCCAAACCCTAAACACTAGAGCCCTATGCCTTAGAAGCTGCCCCCACCCTGTAATAGTGGTATAATGGGAATATAATAGGGCCCTAATATGATATTAATATAATCCTTATGGTCACTATTATAGGGTGGGGGCAGCTTCTAACCTATGCCGAAAAGGCCTGTACCATGCTATGTCAAGCCAGGTTTTGGTGTGTGACGACATGTTGGGCGTTCATGGCAGCCCGCGCCACAGGATTCATGGCAATTTGTCACTCTTTACGGTAGCCCTAAGGGTGCATGTACCCAAGTAGTATATACTTTGGGCCCAATGTACCTATATAGGGACTACATTAAGGCCAATGTATATACTATATAGGTACATGGGCCCTTAGGGTAAGAGATCCATTAAAAGTCCTACAAACGGTCCTCATTTTCTCGTGGTTTCATGAAGGGCTTTATTGAGCGTTCTTTAATGCAAGAGATCCATTAAAAGCTCCTACAATACAAGGGCTCCTCATTTTTTCGCCTGTTCTCGTGTTTCATGAAGGCCTCTATTGAGCGTTCGATCTTTGAGGGTTCATGACCCTGTGCACCACTGGGTTGTCCTTTGGGCTCTTTTTTAATTTCCCCTACTATTATGTAAGGAAACAATAAAAGTAAATCATTTTCAAATGGCTTAAAGGATAACTCAGCCCAGGATTTAGGGCTTTTCGTATCTTACTTCCACTGAAGAGCCTCTCGAGGCTGAACCCTCGATCCTCCCCAAGACCTAAGCCCCAAAGCCTTACTTAAGGCCCTAAACCCTAAACCCTAAACCCTTATAGTACCCCTATGGATCCCTTAAAGGAACCCTAAACCCTAAACCCCAACCCGGAACCCTAAGCCCTAAACCGACCCTGGAAAGCCCCAAGCCCAAAGAACCTTGACCCGAAACCCAAAAAGCCGTGCACTCAACAAACACAAAGCGGTTTAGGGTTTAGGGGTTAAGGGTTTAGGGTTTAGGGTTTTAGGGTTTAGGGTTTAGGGTTTAGGGGTTCATAAAGTAAAAGCCAGAAAGTTGGAATATGATTATCCTAACCCTTCTATGGTAAATTATAGGGTATCCTACCATGAAACCATACTCCAACTTTCTGGAGTTCCCTGTAAGGGTTGACGAATGAAGCCTAAAGCCTCTTACGGCTAAGCGCTGCCGGGATAGATCTATAATCTACAAATCCCAATCCCCACGGTCCATGCAAACCTGCAGCCCCAAACGCTGAGAACCCCTGAACCGTAAGCCCTGAGCGCGCACCATTACATGCAGCCTCATCATAGGAACCCTTGCAGAATCCTAAGCACTTTAAGGAACGCTTCACGCAAACCTATTAAAGGAACCTTGATGGGCACCCTCAAACCCTTTATTTAATCCTAAGCCCGAACCCCCACACCCTATATAAATGCTAAACCCTGACTCTAAACCCTACACCCTGGACCTAAACCGTAAACTTCGAACCCCAAACCCTAAATCTACACCCTACACCCTAAAGCCTAAACCCTAAACTTTGAAGCTTAAACCCTGGCACTAAACCCTAACCCCCCCCCCCCCTCAAAGGAACCCCATCGGAGCCTCTAAAGGCCCGCCTTCCTTTGCGAAGATGTTCGCCGATGTCGGCAAGATGTCAGAGCAGGCCGTCTGGGGCAAAGTTGTCGGGTTTAGGGTTTTAGGGT